GTTGGAAGATGAGGCCAAACAGTGTTGTGTGTCTGGCAGTTACCAGGCGCCATGATAAGGACTTGAAGCTAGGTAGAAGGAATCCCCTGACTGTATTTGGGGAAGCAGATTGAAATGAGACTCTATGAAGGCCAGAGGACCATAGAAAAATTGAATAAATGCCCTTTCCAGGGCTTTAGCTTTAAATCAAGAAACTTAGTTTCTTGCTCTCCCCTTCTGAAATTACTGGTATTTCAGCTCAGCCAACCAGCAGCTGTTTGAGTGCCTGCCTGTGATACTTGACCTTTGAATGTCGGGAGATGCCTGGAGTTTCAGGGATGGGTAGGCTCTGTTCAGTGTCTTTTGACAAAATGGCGATTGTTGACCTCTTTGCTTCCTTTGTACCCTGGACCTTAGCACCACAGATACTTTCAGAGGTTCCATGCCAGGAGAGTCTCTCTTGAAAGCCACTGGTAGAATAGGCACTACAGAGACAGTTCAGGAGGACACTGGAAGTTGTGTATCGGAAAGTGTCCTACCCTGGGGCTTCTCTCACCAGCTAGCATACCATGCCTGCATGTGCTTCACGTTGCTGTGGGATGGATCCAATGGAGTGTGACACAGAATCTAAGTGATCTTCCATAACAAAATGCCTGTGTTTCTGGGGTTGCTGAGCCTCCTGGTAGCACTGGAATGTTCTCTCTACTCTGCCTCCAAGGCTGCAGGCTCTTCATGCCAAGAACATGAGATTTGTTAGCTGAACACAGGGGCTGCCATGAAATTCAGCAGTGAAGTCTTGCTGGTGGGTCTCCTCTTCTGCTCTAAGTCAGGCTTGCTTGTCTACCCAAGACAGCCCCCCCCCCCTTCTCAGGGCTGACCTAAGATCCTTATCTCTCCTATCCCACTCGCCTAGTAGCATTCTTTTATCCAAACCAGCCAACCTGAGTGGCAAAAAGGGAAGGATTGGCTATCTCATTATTTCCTCAGTGCAATCCTTTGCCCTCTCCGGACTTCTGAGTGGTGTGTGCTCTTTCTCCCGCCTACAGATGTCCCAGTTCATCGTCCAGTGCCTGAACCCTTACCGGAAACCTGACTGCAAAGTGGGAAGAATCACCACAACAGAAGACTTCAAACACCTGGCTCGCAAGGTATCCCTCTGTTCTGAAGATGTTCTGGGAAAACCATGTACCTTTCATCCTAGAAAGTGGGTTTTCCTTGCCACAGGCTTGGCTGGGGACCCAGGAAGAGGGGGAGGGAAGGTTAGGGAACGCAGTGCACCCTACTTGAGGGTAGGGTTGGTGGTCCTCTAACAGACTTGCAGAGCTGAGCCTCCCCTTTCTGGTGACCCCAGCACCAGCCTGCCCCAGCCTCTCTCTGTTAGACCCCGGTCTTGGTGAGAAGGGCCCTGAGGCACCAGGCTGGCCTTAACCCCTGAAATCCTTTCCACTCTGGTCTCTCTCCCTTTGTCCTGGACAGCTGACGCACGGCGTTATGAATAAGGAGCTGAAGTACTGTAAGAACCCTGAGGACCTGGAGTGCAATGAGAATGTGAAACACAAAACCAAGGAGTATATTAAGAAGTATATGCAGAAGTTTGGGGCTGTGTACAAACCCAAAGAGGACACTGAATTAGAGTGACTTGTGGGGCCAGGGTGGGAGGACAGGTGAGCAGGTAGGACCGACTCGGGAGAAGAAACCCCGCGGGCCCGCTGCCCCCTTCCCTCCCCCTCTGTCAGGGCTGTGCTACTGGTGACACATCGCCCTGGGGATTTCAGACCTGCAGATTTCAACTGAAAGCCACGAAATCGAGCTCCATCTGCAACAGGCGATCCCTGGTCAGGAGCTGTTGGGGTGTGGTTGGAGGCCCGTCAGAGGCAAGGGCTTAGGGAAGGACCCCGCTAAGATCCTGGCCAGGCCTAGCCCCACTCCCAAACCTGGGTCTCCTCCTTGGCGGTGCTGTCAGCGCACAGACCCATGCGCATCCCCACCCATAACCCTTCACCCTGACGATCTGTATTATATTTTAATGTATATGTGAATATATTGAAAATAATTTGTTTTTTCCTGGTTTTGTTTGTTTTTCGTTTTGCTTTTAGCCTCTACGTGCTAGATCACAGGAAGACTTTGTAAGGACGGTTTTAAGTTCTCCTGCAAGGTTTAATTTGTTATCATGTAAATATTCCAAAGCAGGCTGCCTTGTGGTTTTGGCCAGCCTTGTGCTATGTTGATAAGATTGATTTACTGCTTAAAATCACTTTACTTTATCCAATTTTTACTGAACTTTTTATGTAAAAAATAAAATCAATTAAAGAACTTGGCATGTGTGTTCCCTAAAAGCTAGTCAAGCATGTTTGAATATAGTGGTGTCACCGGCAAGAGAAAGGAGAAATGGCGGCCACAGATGTAGGAAGTCCAGAGTTAATCCTGGAACTTGGAGTTCATCACAGGCCTTGTTCCCGAAGGTCCCACTGCGACTGACACTTGTGGCCTTAGGATCTTATGCCTGTGTTCGGGGTGGAGTCAACTTGTACTACATGTATTCCAGAGCAAAAAAAGTAGCCTGAGGGCCTCGTCGGCCCTGGGCTTCTCTATACTTTGGTTCATAGGTCAGGCAGGAGAAAGGTACGAGTCTTCCCCTTTACATCTCCTGGCTGTAGGGAGAGGCACTGACCCTCTTCCCTCCAGAACTTGAGTTCCCCAAGCTCCCTGGATTGCTCTTTTAACTTGCAGGTTAAAAGACCCCTCCCACTACGCACCCTGACACTGGGCTTGGACACTAGAGGGAGGACACCTGTAAAGGGGTACAGTGCACAGGCTCTCATAAGAATGGACATCTCGAGCAGCCCGGGTGGCTCAGTGGTTTAGCGCCGCCTTCAGCCCAGGGCCTGATCCTGGAGATCCGGGATTGAGTCCCACGTCGGGCTCCCTACATGGAGCCTGCTTCTCCCTCTGCCTGTGTCTCTGCCTCTCTCTTTCTATGTGTCTCTCATGAATAAAATAAAAATTAATTAAAGAAAAGAGAGAGAATGGACATATCCTGGAAGAGGCAGGGCTGTGGCGTGACCCTCCTCCCCACCACCCTTTGATGGACCAGTTGTCTGGGCTGTGAGGCTTTAGGCCAGTCTGGAGCCATCCTAGCAAAGAGATTGGTCCCCTTTCTTCCTCACCAGGGCTAATTTGCTGCCTGCAGTAGCACCCTCATGGAAGAAGCTGTGGGCCACCGAGTCTTAGGCAGGTGGTGGATGGCAGAGTGCTCGCCTGCTGGGTGCTGTGCTGGGCACCTAGAGCTCCAGTAGTGCTCATTTGATACTTAGAACCCTGGGAACAGAGTTGGCAGGGTTGGATAAGGAAATCCAGGCTCAGGCTCAGGAACTCATATCCTCATTGTTAAAAGAGAAAACCACCTATTTTAAAGTCCTACTCATTGGACATGCCATTTAACAACGTAGCCATAGTGTTTTCCCATGCTGCTGCAACCTTCAAAACTTTAAAATACATTATATCACATGAATGGACTAACTCAACCCTCTTTACTTTTGAGAGTTGTTACAGAGAGTATCTCCGTTCCTGTACACATTGAAAGGGAATGTCTCTCTTTGGGTGGGTTTGCGGTGCAGGGATGTGGTCCCATGCTCTGTGCTCTGCTTCTGCTTGCCACCAAGTCAAACTCGTGGTTTGACCCCAGGCTCCAGGTTTCAGATTTTCCAAGGAAATTTAGGTGGTGGTCCATTAAAGGTGGTGACCAGGGAGCTGTAGAGTTTCAGACAGGACACCTTTGAAGAGGGATTGTGTTATCTCAGCTCCCTATGGAGTTTTTTCAAAATCTTTTCCAATTCCACACACCCCTTGACATCTTCAGACTCCAGTCCCTCCGTTGTCATAGGGGTGCCAGCCAATCCAGAAGCTGTTGGGTGCCACTCAGCACAGGCTTCCACATTCTGTGCCAGCCCAGTCCTCGATTGCCCTGTGGCTGACTTGCTGCCCAGGCAGCTGTGAGGTCTACCAAGTGTACTGGTCTGATTTTGGCTGACTGAATGCTGTGCCTCTCCTGCTCTTTCTCCTTGGTTATTGCCCAAAAGTCATCTCCAGATTGAGGGAGCTGTAAACCTGCCCTTCCTGCAGGACAAGATTTCCAGGGTTAAGCAGTCCTGGCAAACAGTTTCTGGGGAGCAGCAGTCTGACATCTGGCACTCACTGAGCAGCTAATCTCAGTCACATCTGTTGGTGGAGGACGGGGTCTACCTGAAGCCTCCGTGGGCCAGCACTGGATCCCACAACTCCTGAGTTTGGGTGGCTATGTTGAAGTGCTCTGCCTGTCGTGGATGCCTGGATGGTGGCCACTGTTCCTTCCTAGACAGGGGCCTGTCCACTGTAGCAACCCCTTCCAAAGGAGGTAACCAGCCTGCCTGCTTCTCCCTTCAGGGCGGGCAGATGCGTGGGGTACGGGTAGTTTGGCTACAGCTGCTCTGCCCTCAGCTGCCCCTCAGGTGGGTGGGATGGCCCACTTGCCCTTGGCTTGTGTGGAAACCACATAAGCAGCTGTGGAAGCATGTTTGGAACTCCTTCCTGAGTCTGGAACGTGAGTCTTGTAAGGACAGTCTTTCTTCCTTTTTTTAATCTAGAGACCCGAGGCCCTTGGAAGCTAGCTCCCCAGGGTGTCTGCCTCCAGCCTCCCCTTGACACTGGTCACAGCAGAAGTCACAAAAAATGGTCTCAATCCCAGGGCCCCTCAGTGCCAATCTGAAAGTATAACGGGTGGGGGACCTACTGAATGTGCCATTCTATTTATCGTTCTCCAGCTAAGGAAGCTGTGAGTGCAGAAAGGTAAAATAGCTCCCTAACATGCACAGCCAGTGACCCGCAGATGCAGGGTGTGAGCTCCAGCCTACACCGTCTTCTACAGGAGTATACTGCTTCTAGCTCCCGCGCTCCTCCCGCATCCCAGAGACCCTCCTTTTTCTGGGCCTCTGCCTCATGGCCACCCAACTGTCCCACAGGCCCAAGGAGTCAGAGGCAGCACAGTAGTCCAAAGTTGCCTTTAATATGAGATACAAAAGTAGAAAAACCAGTTGACGCAGATAAGGGAGGTGTAGTGGGGAGGGGGAAGGCAGGACCACTGCTAAGTCCCTCCCCATGTCCTGGTCGCTGTCCTGGAGGAAGGTAGGGCAAGGGGAGGTGAGCGGTGGCTGGACCTTCTGTGTTCCCTCCAAACAGAGCAGGCTGAGGCCGCCAGTGCCAGGAAGCTCATGAAAAGGAAAGCACATGTGGCTGTGGGGGGAGCACCAGAGCAGGTTCCCTGAGAGGCCTGGCCGTGGTGGCATCACTCACACCACAGAGCAGCCCTCAGCCGGGGGACCCAGGACCCGGAGCACATCTTCACGGCCCATGGCAGCCAGGGTGTCCTCTAGCACCCTCAGGGTGGCACCACTGCCTTCTTTGACAGCCCAGTCCCTGAGCAGGGTGTGGGCTGGCAGCTGGCCCCGGGCTATGACCTCCACAGCATCAGCCGGGTAGCCCAGACGGCCTGCTAGGCCCTGCCAGCCTTTGTCAGCTTCGCCCGATGCTTCCAGGAGCCGCTCCACTTCCTCTTGCTGCGGCCGAGGGAGGTGAAGGTAAAGCCGGCAGCCAAATTCAGGATGTGACCCTGGGGTGGGAGACGTAGGGGACGCGAGAGGGTCAGGTGGGCTGGGTGGTATGGCTGAGCTGGGTCTAGAAGTCTGTAGATGGAGAAAGAGGCTCACCCTGGCTGGGGGCACAGGGCTCCCGACCGCTAGGATTGTCCAGGAAGACAATGCTGTCCCCATGCCTCTGGTCCCTGTCGAGGTCCCCCAGCTCTGCAGTCCGAGCTTTGGCCAGCTGCTGTCTTTGTTTATGTGAGCGCCAGCTGTGGGGAGCAGGGGGGACCCGCCAACCTGTTCCAGCCTTCACTGGGACACAGTGCAGATTGGGAGGGGTGTGCTATGGGGCAGTGCCCAGAGTACCTACCACTTGAAGGCCACGTAGGCGAGCAGGCCGAGGACCACGGTGGCCAGGAGGGCACAGTAGACGGGGATAATGTTGCCTGAGGCCCCTGGAGGCTCAGGGGGGAATGGAGAGGAGGTATTGGGAGCCAGAGCTCCCCCTATCCACACCCCTTCCCCATCCCTGTCCTGCATCCTCCGTGTCTTATCTGTAGAAGAAAGGACAAAGAGGATCAAGAGCAAGGAATCAAGGCCAGGTCCCTGAGTAGCCTCACTTAGGCTTTGCTGCCAAAAATGTTTGAAACAACAGTCCCTACTTCGTGGAATTAAACACTCACACCACGGCATCCAGATTGGCTCGTTATCCCAGGCTCATCTCCCACAGCCTCCTCTCTGCTCACCAGTCTTGGACACCGAGCCCTTCCCGGGGGGACCCTCCTCCTGGGTTTTCAGACATCTGCACTTGCTGTTCTAACTTCTCCAACTGGCAGGTATCCCCTATTCTGGGAAGGCCTCCTTGATCTCTCCCATTTCTGGCTCCTACTGTACCTTCTCTATTGGAGCATTAAACCATGCATCCTGTCTCTCTCAGCAATCTGGACTAGGAGAGCAAACTGATACACACTGGTCCCCACGGGGGCCTCTGCAGATGAGGCCTTTTAAATTTTTGCAAAATAAAGTTGAGCTAGGAGGCAAGTAAACGCTGTTGTTCACTTCTGCCGGGAGGCCAGGAAATCACAAACCCGTGCAGGCAGGGCATAGGGTCCAAGGACTGCAGAGTTTGTGACTGGACCCGTGCCATCTCCCCACCCACCCATCTCCCCACCCACCCAAAATGTGGATCGGAAGGTACTTACCCACGTGGACCGTGCCTTCTCTGTGGCTGGAGTTGTGAAGCATGGCTCTGCTGGCTAGCAGTGCTCCCAGGGACTGCATCTCCTGGAGAAGGGGTTGGAGTGTCATGGCAACACTCAGGCAAGGGGGCTGGGAGACTTCTCTGAGTCCAAAAGTGGGTGTGTGTAGCAAGATGGGGGAAATCCTTCAGGCCAGGTGTTGGGAGTCTGTGTCTCCCCCCACCCTCTGCTCCTGGCTCACTCCATCCTGATTCACTCCAGAGCTGGTTATCACCACCCCCCCACCTCCCCATTCACCAACCTGACAGTTTCCTCCTGTGTCAGATGGGGTGGGGTGGACAGAGCTAGCCCCCACAGGCCAAAGCTGGAGGAGCCAGGGTGCAGGAGGAGAGCAGGTTGGAAACCTCAGCAAATCCCTGGTCTGAGTCCAGGGGTGGCATGGGAGGACCAGAGACTCCCATCCCCACCGCCGTCAGAGCCAGGCTGGAGACTTGCCAGTGGGGGCCTCCCCCAGACTTGTCAGCATAAGCTGAGGAACCCAACACCCTAAGCTCCAAAGGCACAGCTCCCCCAAGTGACTGTGGCCCCACTCCTGCTTCCAGGGCCTGTGTCCAGCCCTCACCTCCTGTTGAGAAACTGCTCAGGAAGGTTCCTTGGTGGGTTCAGCCAGAGCAGAGAACATAGGGCCCCAGAGGCCCCCTGGTTCTTTTCTCATCTGGGAGCTCAGCCTGGAGGCCAGAAACCTCAAGGACAGGACTACTCAGTCCCAGGACCCGTCTGGACCTACAGGCTTGATCCTGCGGGGACTGGCTCCCTAAAGCCGGGTTAAGAGAAACCACATCTGGACTAGAATGGCTCCTGCCAGGAAAAGGCACGGAGAAGAAACCTGGGGGCAGGCCCTCCAGCTCCCAACTTCCACCACCACATCCGGTCTGGTCTCCAAACTCACTTCCCTGCCCAGTCAGCAAGTGGGTCGGGGTCAGAGGCGATGGTGGCCCTTCCAGGAGTGAGGCTTGTGCGTCTGTGTCACTTACCACACACGGGGCCCTTCCCGGGCCTGGCTGGCAGGTGGGCCTGTGAGCAGCGCGCCTAGGCGCAGCCAGGCCTGCAGACGTCTGCCCGACCCAGCCACCGAGCCGGAGCTGCGGGGCGGGTGCCCCTACCCCCCTACACACACACACACACACACACACACACACACACACACACACGTCTCCAGGCCGTGGAACACGCCCACGCGGGGCAGCGCGCACGCTCGCGGGCCTCGACGCGGGGTTCAGAGAAGCAGCCCTGGGCTCTCTCGGTCCGGGGAGCCCCGGGGCGCGTTCCCAGCCCCTCCTACCCTGCTGGGGCTCCCAGGATCCGCTCGGCCGGCGGGACTCGGGCCCCTGCGCCCCCAGGCTGCGATGGGCCGGCCGGGAAGGCGCGGCGCAGGACCGGGCGGGGAGGCGGCCCGAGCGCCCACGGAGGAGCCGCCTAGGCCGGAGCGCGCGGGGGCGCGGGGCGCGCGGGGGCGCGGGGGGCGCGGTCGCCCGGGGCCCCGCCTCCGCCCCGCCCCGCCCCGCCCCGCGCAGGAACGCGCACACGTGCAGAGGCGCAGCCGGGCGCGGCGGCGCCGCGGACAGGAGACAGGACGCGTGGTCCTGGGGGGGCTCCCGGGCCGGGGTACCGAGCCCAGGACGGCGGCCTGGGCAGGCGGAGGCGCCGCGCGCACGCATACTCGGAGGCGAAGCAGCTACAAAACTAGGCCAGGTTTATTGCCGAGAGCGGGGGAGCGGGGGCCGCCTTTAGAGATTAAGGCCACAGCCCGGCCCCCGGGCTCCGCCGGGACGCGGGGTTTGGGAGCCTGGGCTCCCGCCCCGCACTGTGCAAAAAGTGCTGTGCGGCCGCTCCGGCCGGTGCCGGACTCCGGGCGGCCCCTCTGCCGGCGAGGGGCGGGACTTCCGGGAGCGAGCCGCCCGCCAATCCCTGAGCTGGGCGGGGGTGGGGTCCCGCCCACCCCCGGAGCCGCGCCGCGCGGCCGCCTCGCGGGCGGCTCCCCCGACTCCCGCCGGCTCCCGGGGCGGGGCCTGCGCAGTGGGCGGGGCAGCTGTCAGCGCGCCTCTGCCGGGTTGTACTCCGTCTCCCCCGAGGACACCTGCGAGATGCGCCTGGAGGACCGCCACAGCTTCCGCGCGAACTGGCTGCTGCGCGCCTGGGGGAGCGGAGGACGGAGGAGTAGGACTGCGGAGAGCGGGGCCAGGAGCGTCCTGCCCGCCCCGCCCCGCCCTCAGCCTCACCTCAGAGGGCTGCCCCGCGCCCACGACAATCAGCTTGCCGTCCTCCAGGCCCACGAGCACGTGGCTGCGCTCCTTGGTCACAGCCACGCTGCGGATGGGCACCTTCATGGGAAGGGGGGGCGCCGCCGGGAGCAGTCTGCAGGGAGGGAGGGAGACCCGAGCTCTCAACGGCAGGGCAGCTTTGCTGCGTCTTCATCCTCTGTCCGCTCAACGCTCAACGCTCAACGCTCAACGGACGGATCTCCCACAGGTGTGTGGCTAAGGGGGGCCCGGGGCAAGATCAACCCACTGGGGGACAGGAGACAGGCCCTGAAGAATGTGCCATGGACACGTTTAGGGATTACGAGCAGGTCCCCCAAGGGAGGGGGGTTGGTAGAGGGGTCTAAGTGGGGAGTACCTTCTGTTATCCTCCGCCAATGCCCATCACCTTGAAGGTCCATGAACTCATAAATAGTGTCACTCACTTGTTCAGGTGGAGGATGTGCAGGGCACACTGGGCTGTGCCCAGCAGAACAAAGTCCTCTGTCACCGCCAGGGCTGTGGGCTGCTCTACCAGGGGCAGTGAAGCCCGTAACTTCCCATTCACGGAGTACAGGTGCAAGGAGTAGGTGACCTGGAAGAAGCAAGAGGGGTCAGCAGGGACAGAATCCCAACTACCCCTTTCTCGGCTGAGCACCGTTCTTCCATACCTGAGCCCCCACACGCTCCCGCGCCGAGCTCTGTACCACAATATGGCCCTCAGACCCCAGCGCCAGATGGAACACGGGTCCGGGTAATGTGGCCCCCGGGGGCCGTAGTGCTGCCACAAATTGGCCACGGCGTACAGTGTGGATGATCACAGTTCCATCCTGTAAGAAGGCAGCTTAGGGTACTGGGCAGGGGTCTTCAATCTCCAGGGACATTGTCTAGCAAACTGGGCCTCCCCTGGGCACAGACACGCACACACACCTCAGATCCCGATACAGCCATGTCGAGTTCAGTGTTGATGGCCACACAGCTTACTGCAGCCTCATGCCCATAGAGGACCTGCACGGGCTTTGACGCCAGTCCCACAGAGAGGCCACCCTGTGGGGAGCCAGAGTTGGCTTAGGACTGGGGACATCTCACTACCCTGGCCCCCGAGTGAGGAGGCTAAGGCTCAAGAAAGTGATGGTCTTATCCAAAGCCAGAGAACTGGAGGGTCATGGAGACCCGGGCTTGCTCATGGTGGCAAGAGAAGGGCAGGACTGACAGTCAGCTGAGGGGCAGATGGGCTGCAGGTCTGGACTGTGGGGGCCCCACGGGGCTGCCCATCCAGCACACACCTCCTGCAGGAGCCGCCACACCATGCACGTGGTGTCCCGGGAGCCTGAGATGAGGTAGATGCCACAGGTGTCCAGTGCAAGGCAGGTCACCACGTCTGCACGGGGAGGGTACAAACGGAACAGAGGAGTCACACCCTCCCTGGCCAGCTACCCCTACCTGCACCACCCCAGCTCCAAGGCCATGCATACCAAGGTGACGGTTGAGTTGCTTCAACAGCTTGCCCCGGGGCAGTGCAGTCACTCGCAGGCTGCCATCCCAGTGGCCGCCACTGAACAGCAGCTTTGCGTCGGGGGCCACTGCCAGGGCTTGCCCACTCACGCCACTGTCCGGCACCCACGGGCCACTCAGCAGTCGTTGCATCCTGTCCCGATGAGGGGGACGACAGGTGTGAGGCCAGGCCAACACAGAAGACCCAGGCCCTCAGAGACCTTGGCCAGACCCTTCAGCCAGCTCCCACCTTGACTAGGTATGTGTGTGGGGGGGAACAGCTCAGGATACAAGGTATTTAGAGCCCACCCCTGCCCACCTCCCTCTCTCCTACTTGGGGTTGCCTATGGTGGGGTCTTTGTTGAAGCTGAAGTAGTTGTTTATGTTACGGTCATAGGGCAACCAGTTGTGGACGCCCAGCAGCCCACTGGCACTCACAGTCACCTGTGGGCAAGAGGGGACAGAAGTGGGTGTGAGGCAGAGTCAGAGAGGGGTGGAGCTGGGGTGGGCGCTGCCCCGAGCACTTACCAACAGATCTGAGGAGCCCTGGATGGTGAAAGAGTGGGACTGCCGGTGGGGGACCATGGCCAGCACCAGGGGCACGCCGTCACTGATGACCTGCAGAGGAGAGTATGGGGCCGGCTGTGCCTGAGTGGTCTGCCAGGAACCCCACACCCCTACCCACAACCAGGGCACCATTCTTTCTTCTCCTCTCAGCCCCCAGTGCTGGCAGACTAAGGTGTCAGAGGGCAGAGGTCCCTCTGCCAAACAGGAGGGCATCTCAGAAAGTGAGGGAGTGAGAAGCTGGGATGGACAAGGCAGGTCTCAGAGTCTCATGCTTGGGCTCAACTTGGTCTTAACCATCCTCTTACTTCATGTCCCCCATTTGCTGGCAGGAGGGGAAGAGAAGCTAAAAATGTCAGGCCCAGGGGCCTTCTCATGTGAACAGAAACATGAGGAACATCACCCAAGGCCAGACTGCCTGCCTTCTGGTCTCCCTAAGGCTTTCAGAGGCGGTCAGGGGAGTCGACGTGTCCTGGCCTCTTCAAAGAAGGAACCCTACTCCTGCTCCCATATTCCTTTCCCTTTACCTCTTTTTCAAAGACATCTAACGTCAGTGACCTTGATTTAGGTTTTCCATATGCCCCAAGAGGTTGGTAAGGACTCTGGAGCTGAACCCATCTCAGAGTAGGAAATGAAGCCCTGCCTCCCCTCACCTCTGCAAAGAAGGCCTTGAGCTGGTCCAGGTGTTGGAAGATGCTAGGCGAGTTAGTGTCCAGACGTGCAAGGCGTTGGGCTGCTTCCTCGGCTGACAACCGAGCTGGATGTGGCTCCTGTGGACAAGTGGCTGGTCAGCACCATGGTATGGGCATCCCTGACCGTGATCCCTCAAGCCCCAAGGTGGCCTTACTTTTAGCAGCTGACAGGGAGTCTGCCCGAAATTACTGATGATGCCCTCCAGAGCCTTCCGTTCCCGTTCATCCACCACGTGGTCCAGGTCCACGGCCCCTGGGCAGGCAAACAGGGCAATCAGTACTCCCTCTGCACTCTCCGCTCCCAGTCCCCCCCCCCCCGCTGCACCCTGGCCCCCGAGTGAGTCCAGGCCACTGCCCACCTTCATAGGTGCAGTAATAGAAGACGTTGAGGGCTTCTTCCGCGGCTGGCCCCCGCTGCTTGTAGCCAAAGATGAGATCAATCCACTCATGCAGGTGGGCAGACACATATTCTGACTCCTGGGGGTGGGGAGGGGCCAGTCAGTCCAGAGACAGCTGACCCCCCCACCCCACCCCTGCCCCTCAAGCCTGGGGCACCTGTCCGCCTGTCTGTGCTCATCTCCTCACCAGAGCCTGGCGGTGCTGCTGGATGAAGTCCTCAGGAGAGCTGGCCCACGGAGGCAGCACCACGTCGCCCACCTTCTCATTGGTCAGCTGGAGGCAGCCCAGGTCGAAGCCTGGCACAGAGGACTGGGTCAGCTGTCTCCCTGTGCCATCTTCACGTGCTCCCTGGCCACCCCCAGCCTGTGCGCTCTGTCCCCAGGCCTCCCAGCCCCATGCCAGCCCTCACCGTTCTGGTTTTCCAGGAAGTCGGGGAAGTAGAAGAACTCTGGGATGAGCTCCTTCACATCAGCAGGGCTCTCCAGGCGGGCCTGCCAGGCTGCTGCCACTGAGTGAAACTGCCGGTCGGAGCAGTCAAAGCTGCAGGAGGGGCACAGGCCAAAGTGAGGTGGGGAGAATGAAGTCAAGGAAGGAGAGCTGTAGCTGGGGGAAAGAAGGGAACCTCCCCCCATCATCTGCAGCAGCCCACCCCCACCCTCGCCATCTGCCAGCCCCGCCCTGGGCCGCACCGGCCACTCTGCAGCTGGACATGCAGGGAGGTGAAGGGTTCCACGCGGATGAGGTAGTGCATCACGCCTGCGGCGTTGGAATAGTGGGTGCCATAGTGGAACTTGTCAATGGTGCCCGCTGGGTCCTCGAAGCTCTCGTACCTGGAGCCACAGTTAGAGGGAAGTCAGCAGGAGCCCTGCCCTCGCCCATCCCAACCCTCAAGCCCGACTTTGCCCACATGCTCACTTCTCCCTCACGAGTTGGGCGTGCTTGGGATTCACCACACCGATGGGCTTGGACAGGTCGCGGAAGACGGCCGGGTTGCTGAGGTCCAAAGTTGGGGACACGTAGTCCTGCAGGACCCAGGGGAACTGGCCACCCACCCATGAAGGAGCTGCATGAGGGTCCTGATGGCCTACCTGCCCAGCCTGCCCTGCCCTCACCCTTAGGAAGATGGGCAGAGCCGAAGGCAAGGGGAGGGGCAGGGTGCACCACTTGGAGGGACCCAGGGAAGCAGGCCAGGACAAGATTCCCTTTAGGGAGAACAGAGGCCAGGGGGGTATGTTGGGTGCGGAGAGAGGCAGGAGCAGAGGCCAGATGTCAGGCAGCACCTGCCCAGGGGCAGGCTCAGGGCTTGGCCCACCATCAGCGCCTACACTGGAGTGAAGCAGGGTTGGCAGACCAGAGGGGCAGGGGTGGAGATAAGGAGTGGCTCCTCACCACAGGGTACTGAGACAGGTCATTGTAGGTCCGCCCCGCAATGGTGTTGAGTTGCATCAAGTACTCGAAGTTGGAAATCTCACGCTGTACCCATTTCTGGGGGGCAGGGGCAGGCAAGAGGTGAGTCAGCTGGACTGTCCAGCACTCCTCCCAACCACAGGACCCTGGCCTTGCCCCCCTGCCTCCTCACACTCGAGGTCTCTCACCTGGGTGAGGCCGGAGGCACGCAGCATCTCCTGGGGGGAGCGGCTGCTTAGGTAGCCTTGGGCCGGGGGTCGTAGGCGCAGGAGCAACGAATACATCTGGTTCCGTACCTGGGTGTGGGGTGGGATGGGGTAGGGTTGGGGCCTGGGTGCCTGGCAAGGAGACGAGGCTATGGCCCCGCCCACCTTGCACGGGAAGTTGAGGAAGTAGTTGGCTTGATCAATGAAGAAGAGCTCGAGTGCTGAGCGGCGCAGGTTGAAGCGGCGCAGGTGGACCTCTCGCAGCTGCGTGAGCGGGCGCCGGAAGTCGTGGCCAATGCCTGTGCAGATGGACGTGGGTGCAGCAGTCACTCACCCTGGCCCCACCAGGCCCCAGCCATCCCCTGCTGTCCTGACCAGCTCTAGTAGGACGCACCCTCCTCCGTTTCCACACGCTCGGCGCTGCCATCATAGAAGTACACGTGCTGCGTGGTGATCTCCAGCAGCCCTGGGATCACAGCCACCACCGTGACCAGCTGACACTCGGCTGAAAGCACCAGCTTCTCATGTTGCTCGTCCAGTTCCACTGCCTGCATCCTGGGGGCCACACCCACTTCAGGCTCAAGGCTCTAGGACCCCCTTCCGGATAAGCCCAAGACCACACTCCAAGTGCCACCAGGTCATGGGGTACATTCTCTCATGCTTCCCAGAAGAGAGGAACTGTCCAGGGTCCCAGTGCCCACTGACCCCAGTCCCCACCCCAAAACTGGGCCTCTGAGTGTCTTGCCAGGACACCAGCTCCTAACCCTGGCATCCCCCATTCAGCCCCTGCCCACTCCCTTGGGACTCCATGTTGATCTGGTTTGTGTTTCTCAGTCCTGGCCTGGGGTGCCTAGTGATCAAAGAGCCACTGCCACTTCTGCTAGACAGCTCTCCCCACCCCCACCCCCCACATCCCACCTGATTTTGGATAGTCCCTTCACGGTGTTTTTTTTTTTGTTTTAAAGATTTTATTTATTTATTCATGAGAGACACAGAGAGATAAGAGATATAGGCAGAGGGAGAAGCAGGCTCCCTATGGGGAGCCTGCTGCGGGACTCAATCCCAGGACTCCGGGATTACCACCTGAACTGGAGGCAGATGCTCAACCGCTGAGCCACCCAGGGCTCCCCCCTTCAGGGTGTTTACCCCTGTCCCAGGAAAGGAAGTGACTCGGGAGTCAGTCCCACAGTTGGCATGTGTCCACTGGAGTAGGCCCCCTGCTCCCCGCTCCCCACTCTCCTGGTTGCACTCTCCCAGCCCCACTCACGCTTTCTCCAGTGCAGCCAGCTCTTCCTCGCTCAGCTGGTCTTCCTGCAGCTCCTCGGGTAGAGTGCTGACTTTGGCCTCCTTGGTCACTGCTAGAGGCAGCGAGGCCTCCTCTGTAGGTGTCAGGGGGCCCTCACCTGCAGTGCGCCCAAGGGTGCTCAGTCAGCTGGGCAGGGCAGGGCTGACGAGGTTGGGCAAGATCCAGCTCAGGGCACCCTTTCTCACCCAGGTTGTCCCGCAGAGCGCTGGCTTCCAGGTGCGGGTTGAAGTGGTGGTTGGGCACTAGCTTCAGACGCATGCGCGAGTACGTCTCGGCGCTGGACAGCTTCCAGCGCGGAACAGGTGGGTCCCTGCAGGTGCGTCCAGGAGGGTGGTCACGCGTGGGCACGGCAGTCCGTGAAGTCCCCATCCCTCCCGGGCATCACCCCAGGCGCAGCCCCTCCCAGGCCCCGCCCCGGGCGTCCTGCTTCCCACCTCAGGGCCCAGGCCCCACAGGGGCTGGAGAGCTGCCGCCACAGCGCCCCCCAGTGCAGCAGGGCAGTGGACTGCTGCGCTGCCTGCTGCTTCACCGCGGCCCCGTAGCGCAGCCCTTCCAGGCGCACCCGCCTCTGCGCGGGTTCCAGCACCAGCTCCTGGGGGTGGGGGACAGAGGAATGGGGTCAGACCTGCCAGCGGCTTCCCGACCCACCAGCCGTCCTCTGGGCGCAGGAGTGGGGCGGCTCCCCATACTGGCCGCAGGCTGCCCACCTGGAAGGCCCGGCGGCCCTGTGTCCGCTCCCGCTGGCGCCGCTGTCCACTACTCATGAGCGTGTCATAGCAGGCGTTCCAGAAGCCCGACATGAGGTCGTGGCTCTTCGCATACGTGTCCATCTCGAACTGCGACATGGTGGGTTGTACCTGCAGGATTGGGCAGGGAGAGGAGATCAGCGCTCCATGCGGGGGGCGGGGGGGTCCCCATGTCTCTTCCCGCGCCGCCACCTCCAGGCACCTGCTTGTCGATGAAGTGGCGCCATTCAGGTGTGGCACAAAAGGCCTGGAAGTCCTCAAAGAAGGTGGGGCTACCGTTGGTGGGTGGCAGGGAAGGCAGTCCCCACTGGAGCCCCAGCGGCCCATAGGCACGGTCCAGCAGCGTCCGCACCAGAGGTACCAGCCACGAGCAGCGTTCAGTGGCAGCAGCAGCTGCACTTGGGGACTCCTTGTCCTCGGTGGTCATTTTTGAGGGGGAGGTGTTCAGCGCCCGTGCCAGGGCCGCTTCCAGCTTAGACAGCACATAGCAGGCCTCTTCCCGCCGCATGGGCACCGTGGTCTGCAGCAGTGAGTGCAGCTTCACATAGGCCTGGGCGTGCAGCTGTGGGCAGCAGGGAGTGTGAGTGGCACCCAGCCACTTCCCAGGCTCCCCACACCTGCCACTGCGGGACCCCAACCCACCTGGTGCTCACCTGTGGGTCCTCCAGCAGGATGTAGCCAAGCACTAGGCGCAGGCCAATCTGTGCCATCTCTCGGAGATCCGCTGTGCCATTGGCCAGGTGAGGCCAGGCTCCCAGGCGGTCAAGCAGGCTGCACACTCCTTCAAAGAGCTACAGCCCAACATATTCCAAGCAGCCATCATCAGAGGAAGCCAGAAGCCCATGGGGAGGGAGCAAGGTAAGGTTTAGTCTGGGGGCCAGGTGGGGTTTGCACACACAGACACCATGCTGATGCACCCAGGAATGTGCCTGTGCACTCCTCCACCTCCCACACCAGATGCCTGCGGGCTCACGTGAACACGCGGACTCGTGTGGCTCACAGGCCTCTGAGCTGCCGCACCTTCTCACTCCACAGCTCCTGGTTACCATGGCCCTCTGCGCACAGGAAGTCCTGCAGCAGGCGCAGCAGCCAAAGCGCCTGCTGGGTGAGGCTGGCCAGGACCCCAACAGGGGCCTCTTTGATGTCAGTCAGGGCTGATTCAAGCATCATCTCCAGGAGGCTGGGGAGGGGCGAGAGACTCCGGTGTCTGCCCTACTGCCTTCTTTGCCCTCAGGCTCCTCAGGGAACCCTCACTCCCCGAAGTGGCCTCCTTACCTGCGCTTGATGCAGTCTGGTGGCCGCACAAGCGTAGCAGAGGCCCCCAGCTGGGTGAGCACTGAGAACACCTGGCCGCGCTCCCGCCAGGCGGCCTCATCACTGCCTTCCACACCACGCCATGTCACCGAGAACAGCACGTTGGTGAGCAGGTTGCACAATTCCTCCTCAGAGGTTTGCTGTGGGCACAGATGCGAGGTGTGGGGTGGGTGGGGAAGGGAGGGAACTGCTGACTCTCGCACTCTCCCTGTGGAGTATCCCTTGCCAACCATTACTGGGTGTCCCTACTAGGAGGGACAGCCCTTGGCCAACAGACAGCCTGGGGCCTAGAAAAAGGGTGTAGAGAGGCCTTAGCCACTGCCTGAATTCCAGGGAAAATCCTGAGATTTCAGTGACTCGTCAGAGGAGATGAGGTGGTTCACAAAATTACCCCACGGTTCTCACAGGCCCCATGAATTGTCTTGGAATTCTCTGGAAAATGCCTTAGTATAAGCAGAGATCCCTCCCCCAACCTGGAAACACAAGGCAGAACCCTTAGAGTGATGCTGCCGAGAGACCCTGTAAAGTCTCTGCCCTCTAGGCTCTCTTGAGGACTCTCCAGAGCCTGGCTGGTGTCCTGACCCTGGCCTGACATCATTTGTCCTATTCTAGGACCCCGTCAGGAACACAACTGCCGCTGAGAGCTAGCAGGGGCAGCACCCAGGCCAACTGGGTGAGAGCTAGAGCCGCGATGTCAGACAGTACCCTACCCATGGAAAGGTCATACTGTGTGCCCTGGGTCCCAGAGGGGTCTCTCGGAACTGCCCAGTGGCACAGGGAGGACTCGTCTCACCTGAGGGTTGCTGGCATTTGAGGCATCATCCCCGCTGGTGGTGGGCTCCGGGAGGCTGCCATCCTCCAGCACATTGGAGAGACTGGAGCTATGGCGGCCATGGGCAACAGGGAAGGGCCGGGGCCCGTCCAGCGGGGACGGTGTGCCAGGCTGGCTGGCCGGAGTAAGAGTCCCACTGCCGCTGCCACCACCTCCGCTGGCAGTGTTGCATGAACCCACGCTGGCCCGTTCCAGGCCCAGGTCAAAGGGTATACAAAACGGGGAGAGAGCATGGTAAAAGGTGTCAGGGTCGGGGCTGGGGGTCTCTGAGGGCAAGAAGACATCCGAAGTCTCAGGTGACTCGGTGGGTGGCTTGCATAGGGCTGGATCTGGGGAGAAGGGCAGGGGACTGGCAACTGTGGTGGCCTCCAGGACGTACAGCCGGGTCAGCACATCCTGCCAGCCAGCCTGTCGAGCCAGCAGCCGCACTATGTCTGGCTGTCCATAGATGAGGTGGAAGAGCTGCCGGGCCAGGGCACAGCAAGTCAGGATTCATCCGACGGTCTGCCTCCAGACCCCCCACCCCAGGGCCTTTGCAGGGAGGCCTCCAGAGAGCCTTCATCACCAGCAGGTGAAGTGAAGCCCCCAGGGTCGAAGCCCCCTTTTCTGCAAGCTTTCACCTCCCAGACTCACCTGGCGACAAACGTCCAGGCGGACGCTGAGGTCAGCTTGGAGGGATAGCTGCACCACGGCCAAGAGATCAGAGAGGTTCACGCAATCTGGAAGGGTGGTCAGAGAGGCCCTGAGGAGCTGAGCCCCGAAGGGGACCTTGCTCCCCCTTTGGCTCAGCCCTGGCCCCCCATGCCGACGCCTTCCCTACATCTGCCTGCTCTGTTTCCTGGACCTGTCTGACCCTTCCACCTGGCCTGCCTCCTGGCCCCCACCAGGTTGTACCTGCCCCCAGGAACAGCTTGTAGAGGCCCTGGCAGAGCTGGGGGGAGGCAGCCCCCTCTGGCAGGCAGGCAATGAGACCCTGGAGACTGTACTCTCGCAGCCGAAGCCGCTGACGGCTCCGCTCAGGTAAGCGCTCATTCTGCTGCAGTTTGCGCAGGATCTGGGGGAGGGGGAGGGAGGATCACAGGGGGTTTGTCATCATGAGGAAGGAGTTACTGGAGGAGGGAAGTCACCACGTAGGTCTGTGGCTCCGAGAGGGACCTGTTTCACCTCCCTGGCCCTTGGGCAGGGGCCCCGGCAGATGGAATGCTAGGGTCAGCGCAGGCTGGCTGTACCTTGCAGACTCGGTCGGGCAGCAGCGGCAGTGACCTCGGCTGCACTAGCAGAGCCAGCAAGACCTCCAGGTTCCCTTGCTCCAACAGGAAGATGGCCAGAGACTCCTGTGCTGGTGAACCCTGCAGCAGTGCCAGTAGCAGGTCCAGAGCACCCACCACCTGGGGACACAGTATCATTCTGGGCTGGCCGCTCCCCTCAGCGTGGCCACACCCCACCCCTCACCCAAGCCTCACCCTCACCACCCTCCAGCCTACCTGGCCATCATCACCTGCAGCCACCAGAAAGCTAAGCACAACCTGCATGTCATCAGTGGCAGAGCTCCGAACCAGCAACTCCCGCACCAGGCCAAGGAGTGAGGTCTGCACGGTGTGCACATCGTCAGCCGCTAGGGGGTGCTCCCGCTGTGGGCTGAGCCGGTCCCAGCAGGCACAGCCACCCAGGACCAGGAGAAGGCAGGGGGAGGGGGGGAGAGAGCAGGGAGAGTGGCAGGTGAGCTGGGGGACCGAAGCACATTCCCAAGGTCAGAGGCGGCTGTGTGGGCCCCATAGCCTGCTGCCCCCGCCAGCCTCACCTGTAGTGGGTGCGCAGCGCATCCAGGATGAACTGAACCCCATACTTCTTCCGCAGCTTCTGTCTGTGCTCCCGGACTATGCTAGACATATACTGGATGTGGCCTGAATGGGCATCATCAGAGGACTCAGGCCACCAGGTATCCCTCTAGGACAGGGCCATGTCCCTGCCAGATCTCCCGGGGGAGGGTTACGTTCCCCTTCAGATGCTCTAGAGCAGATAGGTCTCCTCAGATTGCCTGGAGCGGGGTTATCGCTTCTCAGAAACTCTACCCCCCGCCCTGCCCCTCCCTGTGGCATCCCCTCCTCCGAGTCCCCACACCTACCAAGGCGCACGGCAAAGTCACTGGGGCTCCAGAGGTGGAAGTTGAAGAGCAAATGCTGGTAGAGCAGGTACAGGAGGGGCCCACTGCCCTCTGCTGCCACCTGCTCCATCAGCAGCTGGGCAGACATGAGCACGTTCATGTCCATGGCCCAGCTGGGAACCTGGAGTGGAAGGAGCAAGGGTGAGGTGGCAGGCCCAGGCTGCGTGCCACTGAGCCTCCCAGCACCCACCCTGCCCCGCACAGGCGGAGGGATGCGAGCACCCTGCCTGCTCAAAATCCGTCTGCAGCTCCCGGCTGCCTCTGAGGTACAAGCTTCCCAGACTGCTGTGCGGGTCCCCTGCCCCAGTGGGTGCTGGCACTTCCACCAGACCCTGTCAGCCGAACCCTGCCAAGCCCGGCAAGGCCCCGCTCTGACGCCACCACCTCTCCCAGGAGGCTCTCCCTGAGGGCGCAGGTTCCCCTTCTCAGTACCCTCACCCAGTCCCCTCGGTCAGACAGGGCAGCACCCGGCCCGCCCTACCTTACGCAGGAGGGCCCCAATGATGGCAGGCCCCTGGCACTGCACCAGGCTCTCCTGGTTCACAGCATGGCCCTGCAGGAAGTTCCGCAGCATCAACAGAAAGGCAGCCACGGCATTCCTCTCCATGCGCACTTCTACTGGCCACCAGGAAGGGGACAGATGTGTGTCAAGGGCCTGCCAGTGGCAGAGACCTCAAGCACGCCAGCCTTCTTATCATGCCAGGATGCTCTCGCCACCCTAACCCAGGCACCAGGGCTTCTTACCTGAGGACTTGCCCAGTGGGAGAAGCAGGCCCTGGGTATTGTGGCCAGAGGTCAGTTCAGGCCCCACAAGGTCATGTGTCTCGGCTGGACCTGCCTCGGCCTCTTGGGGCTGTGAGGCCACTCGCTCCAGCAGGGGCAACAGGGCAGCCATGCCTCCCACACAAGTCACCACGTCCTAGGGGAAAGGCTAGCTGTATGAGGGCAGCTCCCAGCCATTTCCTGCCCCACTCCACCACAGCAGGCTTTCCCGGCTGGGAAGCTGGGTCCAGCGGAGGTGGCTTCCCCAAAGACCTCCCAGGGCATGGTGTGGCTCCCCAGCCCGCCCTGCACACACATGTGCCTATGCTCAGGCTCCCCGCACTCCCTGCCCGTGCACACACACACCTTCACGTCCCAGGTCTCCACCCTGTGGCCCGTCAGGCGGCCATCCAGCCCATGGCCAGGGGACAGGTCCAGGCAGATGTTATTCCTACAGGCCTGGGGGCAGGGGGTGGGCAGGCGCCAAGGGTCAGGTGGAAGGCGAGGCGGCACATGGAGTGTGGGGGCCAAGGGCAAGGTAGCAGGGTCGAGCCAGTTGCCCCCCACCTGATACCTGAGGTGAGTAATGGAGGAGCAGCTTGGTGCTAAGCTCATGCAGCTCACTCTCGGGCTTGAAGGGTGCCACCTCATTGGGCCCTGGGGGGAGGGGTGGGCAGAGGGCTTCAGAGCTGGCTGGGCCTCTGGCCAAACCCCATCCAGAGCCTCCCTCTTCTCTTGCCTGATCAGAGGACATATACCCCCAGGGGTGCCTTCTCCCTCCTAGATCCCTGAGCACTTTATGAGCCACGACTACCCGGGGCTGGGGCAGGGCCCAATGGGTGGGGGTGCTCACCCAAGGTGAACAGGGCCCGCAGGGCTGCTGGCGGCAGCGCTTCATGAAAGATGACTATGGTCCCTAGCTCCCCCTCCAGGGATGTGGGGCTGCCCCACCGAGTGTCCTGTGTGCCTGCAAGGGTGGAGCTGATGGTGCCCTCCTGCAGGGGGGCCACCAGTCCAGACCCCCAGCCAAGCCCTGCAGTGGCTGGGACTGACTGGGAGCGGGAAAAGGAGGGATGTGCATGAGCCAGGGCAGCAGGGACCGGTGGCGTGGGTGGCCCCGTGGTGGTGGTCGTTGTGCGGTGCCCAGCGGAGCCGATGCAGCAGGAGGAGAAAGGCTGCGGGGCCAGGGTTGGGGAAGTGGTCAAGTCACAGCAAAGCCTGGGGTTCCACCTGCGTCCAGGTCCTCACAGAGACCCCCCCCCACGGCTGCACAGACCCCAGAGGCTGAAGGTTGAGGCCTACATGACAGAGGCGGGGGGAACACTGGGGCTCCAGGCTTCACCCTCTCCAAGATGCCCCAGCTCCCCAAGGCCTCCCCAAACCCTGCATGGCACACCTCACTGAGAGAGGGGCAGCGAAGGGGCGCCGTCTGGACCAGCTGGCCATCTTTGTAGACGTGGACCAGGTTTTGGCTGAAGGGCCGGCGCCCAGGCACATGGACGATGGCCACACAGTGCTAGAAGAGAAGCCACATCAGGCTGCGGGCCGGCACCTGGCGTCCCCTCCACCCCGGACCGTACAGGAGAGAGGCTCACCCAGGCAGAGTCGGCAAAGGACACTTCAGACAAGCTCATGGTCAAGTACTCCTTCCGGGTACACACGGCCACCACGAGGGTCCCGGCTGCTGTGAAGAAGGCCTCAAACCCCGAGCCGCTGCTGGTGAAGAAGCTGCGGGCAGGGAAGGCAAGCCAGTTACGTCTGCTGCTTGCCCACTCGCCCTGCCACGGCGCCCTGCTCCCTGGCAGCCACCCACCTGTACAGCTGCTTTCGCTGGAGTGGCCGGGACGGGGCTGGGGCAGGTGCTGCAGCCACGGGGTGCAGACAGAGCCAGGCATGGAAGGTGAAGCCGGGTCCCGGCCATCGCTGCACGGGGGGCACCATGATACCCGCCATGCTGGGCGTCAGGTCGAAGTAGTGAAGGGCGCGCGCAGGGCCCTGGTGCCGGGCCATGCCCGATAACGCACGAATGATGGCACCAGCGTGTCTGGCATTCCCGGCCTCGGCCCCAGCCGGCCCGGAGTCCAGTCCTGCGGGGGGGCGTAGCAGGCAGCGCAGCTCCAGGGGCCGTAGAGACATGCGGCCCAGGGCTTGCAGCAATGCCAACAGCTGCTCCTGGCAGTGGGCCCCCAAGGCTGCCCCCGCGCCGAGTGTCTCCAGCAGGTGGCCCACCAGGCCTGCCTGCACGCACGTGGCTCGGCTGGCAGGGCAGCTGTCACAGAGCCACCGAAGGCGTTGTGCGAGGAAGAGCCGCAGCTCTGCCGTGGGCAGTGCTGGCAGCCACTGCATCAGCATCAGTACCGGCTGCTCGTTGAGGATTGGTGGCGGTGGACATATGCTGTGGTCACCCTCCACAGCCTGGGGATAGAGAGAACACGACAGCTCCTGGGCAACAGGCATGGGGCAGGCCACCCTGCCAACCGTGGGACTTCCCTGTTTCGGGGCATGTGCCTTCAGCCCAGGAGAGCAACACAAGCTACCCCGTGACAAGCCTCCGGCACCATTAACCTCCCAAGTCTTAGCTTGGAGGACACAGGACACCTGTGGTCAGGTCACAGGTCATACTGTGTGATCCCCACAGCCAACAGAGCCCCTACGGCGGAGAGCTCACCTTCCATGGTAACTCGGTCCTGACCGCCCTGGGAACCCTGACCCCACACACCACTGCCCTCACCATGTTGAGTAGCTCCTGTAGCAGCCGGTGCGTGGGGGGACCGTGGCTCTGCAGAACCTCGTGCAGGTGAGGGAAGCCAATGCGCTCTTTAAACACCTCCTATGCAGGGTTGTGTGGGGAAGAGGGGAACATGCCTGTGGGCCCCAGGGCCAACCCACACCCCATGGAAACCCTGGAGGAAGGATCATCTTTCAAGGCTCCCACACCTGGCTCTGCTTCTGGGTCATGGCGCTAGAGAGGGCAAGGGGGCTGAGGATGGATGCGGGGATGAGGGTCCCCCTCGGAAGGCTACAGATCATCCCCAGTCCAGCCCTGACCTAGGATATCCAGCTGACAGCACTGAGCTGCACCCCACAGGGCAAGATGGTCGCTTCCTCAGCTCCCTTGCTCTAACAGCCACCAACCAGAGCAGTTCTGGGGACACGTGGTCAGATTAACCCCACCCCAACACCCCTACCATAGCCAGACTGCAGCGTCCTCACCTTGGCTGAGGGGGAGCCGCTCATGATGCAGGTCAGTACCCTGACCACATGCACTGCAATGGCATCTGTGTCCTGGTCCAATACCTTAGGATGGGGAGGGCCAGTCAGAAGAAGCAGGTACCAGGGTATCACAGCGGGCAGCCCCCTGCTCCTGGTGTAGGGCCAGGACACGTAGCTGAGCTGGCTGGAGGCCTTGGGAGTGTGGTACCAGGCCTCCTGCTCCTTGTCTGAACTAATGTGACCCTCACTCTGACCCTATGCCAAGCAGCTTGGCAAGACCCACTTTGACAAAGAGGCCAGGGAAGAGACCAGGACCGGGAATGGCCTCCCTGGGACAGATCAACAGGGGACTCTCTCGCCATACCCCTTTGTCCCCCACTGTCTGGTAGGCTTGCAGGCCTCTGTCCCCACCCATTCCCCCCCATGCTAGACACACATGTGCAGGCAGGCAGGCAAGTGCTCCATCACCCATGATTGACAAGGGGGTGGGAAGTGTGGGGATGATCAATCACAGGATGTTAGAACCAGAAGAACCTTCGAGACCTTTGGGTCCTACCCTGCCCCTTGCCCCGAGATCCAGGTGGGGACACTGAGGCCCACCTTGGCTGACATCTAGAAACATGCTGCTCACTTGCCCTACCCCACCCCTGAGGGTTGAGGGATCAGGAGGGCTTAGAGAATTTGCCAGGCTGCTAGAGGGTGCATTTTGGCTCCATGGGGTCTGACTCCCCAAGTGACCTCATACCACCTTCAGGGCCTTAATTTCATATCTGTAAAAACCAGGGGTCTCACCTGCCTTTGCCTGCTTTGTAGACAAATAGATATGCAGGCTCTCAGAAAAGACAAGTGCAATAGCCACAGACAGGCTGCCTCATGAAGACAAAGCTGGGGGCCTCTGGAGGTTGGGGCCCAGGGGTTAAGCCAACAGAGAGAGGGTTCTCCATGCAGAGCCCCCAAATGACAGCTGGCAGTTTCTTACAGCTCCCTTGGAAGGTGAGGCAGAGAGAGCATCATAAGGGGATGAAGGACTCCCAGTGACCTACCTAAGGGAAGTACAAGGATCCATGGAAAGAAGTGGCCCCGTGTGGGGGACTTCCTTATCTGTGAGGGGCCACAGCCAAGTCCCATAGTATCTGGGTTTCAGTTCCCCTTTTGGGACTGGGGGCAGGTGGTTGAGTTTCGAAGGTTCCTTCCAGCTTGGCCAAGCCAAATCCTAGCTCCCAATACTAATACTAAGTAGGGCACAGATCACTATTACCCGTTCCCTAGGATAAGGGTCTAGAAGGTGGACGACACAGCATGGGGGACCCAGCCCCATCACTACCAGGCCACAGCAGGCCTTATGCATGTATCAGCTCCTTCCCCCTGCAGAGGCAGGAAGGGCTCAAAGAGGGAGGCGCAGGTGGTAGGTGCCCAGGGAGGCAAGTGCCTGAGCAGGTCAGCCCCAAGGTGGTACCTTCTGGACATCGGGCTCGGTCAGTAACCGGGTAGCCAGGTCACTGTCCCCCTCAGGGGGCGCCCGGGCCTGCAGGTACAGCTGTGTGGAAGGGGGAGGGCACAAGGTAGAGGAGGCAGAGGAGAGAGAGAAGAGGAGGAAGACGGGGAGAGGGATGGGGTTAGAGCAGGACCAGGGGCAGCAGCTAGGGCTCTGCCCCCGAGGGAAGGCTATGTGTGCCGAGACACCCAGGCAGAGAGCTGGGCCAGGCACCAAGGAAGGCAGGGATCTGAGAGCTGCCCATGCCCTGCTCAGAACAGAGTTGGGGGTGGGAGGCAGGTAAGTGGGCAGCAATAGGTACTCTATCTAAAACAGCCAAGCCCTCCTCCTGCCCCTGGACTTGGGGCTGGGGAAAGAGGGACGAAGGGCCAGGGCAGCTCCTGTCCTTCCATGATATCTCCCTCCTGTGGGGTGCAGAGCCATCCCAAGCCTTGGGCCATCCCCCCAGACACAACCCCCCAGGCCAGTCCAGCCCAGACTGGCTCAGCAGCAGGTGGCCCCCAAAAGTGGTTCCAGGCCCCCCAACCCCACCCCGAGCTGGGCCCCGCCCACCTTGCTGTTCTGGATGAGGCGAGTCAGGTGTTCGAAGCAATTGTTGCTGAGGAAGGTGGCCTGTAGCACCGGCCGGTCCTCACATACCAGCATCCTGGGGATGGCATCTGTGGAGGGGTCTAGGGTCAGCCCTGCTCAACCCCCTATCAGCAACCCGTCCTCTCAGCCTTAAACCTTCTTCCCATGCTGCCCGGTCCTGCCTTCCATCATCACTTAGACCTTCCCCTGCTAGAGCCACCTCCCCAAGAGCCTGGGAGCCCATACCCACCGAGCATGCTGACCCGTAGGGTGACAAGGGCCTCTTCAGGGCCTGGGCTTGGGCCCGCTGGCCAGTCGGCATTAAGGATGCGGAAGTAGCCCTCAAGCAGGGTGCGGAGCTCTGGCCCACGAGGGGGTGTGCGGCTGGCATGCAGGACATGTACTGCCCCCACGAGTGCCTCCAGCGCCAGGGGCACTAGGCGGGGGTCCTGGGCTGGCCCATGGTCCCAGCCCCGTATCACACCCAACAGGCCCTGCACAGAGCCAGCGCTCACAGCCATCTGCCCGTTCTCCTGCAGGTGTGGGCAGAGATGCCAGTGGTCAAGGGGCTCGACCAGCAGAGACCCTGAGATGGCCACCCTCTGGTCCACAGGCTCCTCCTGGCTTACCTTCCCTCCCGCAAGGACAGCACCAAAGAGATGGACGAGACGCAACAGCAGCATGGGAGGCAAGCCATCTGCATCCTGCAGGCTCTCTGGATGGGGTGGGTGCACAGGACAGAACAATATCACCAAGCTTGCAGGGGACTACCCAAGAGGAGAGTGTCCTGGGTGGGGGTAGAGGGCTGGGACACCCAGTGTAAGGGAAAAGACCTGGTTCTGTACTTGGGACTCCAAAATGTTATGGTTCCATGCTGGGGCGGGGGGGGGGGTCATCTAAGGGAAGACACGGCCCTTCTTTGGGGAGCTTGAAGGGCATATGGTCCTGCCCTGAGAGCTTAGCCAGTTCCCCAGATCTTAATCCCCAAAGTGGGGACCCCAGGGTAAGCACACACACCACTCTCCACCCCACTTCCCCGTGGCAACCTAGGGTTTGGCTTCTCAGATACAAATCTGGTCCTGCTACCCTGTGACAGTTGGAGCTTCCTGTAACCTGCTCTGGGGACCTTGCTGTGTCTATTATACAGATGCCCCTCACCCCCACCCATGCCCCTAGTGGGGACTTCTAGGGGCTTTCAGGGTTTCATATGTGGGAGGCCCACCTGGCCCTGCTCCAGCAAAGCTGGACAGGATGCCAGGCCACAGACTGCAACACAGAGAACAGATGGGACCAGCCCTGGGTCACATGAGTGGTGTCAATGGTGGGGGTGGGGGGGTGGGGGGCAAGAGCAGGGCTCACTAGATTCAGGTGGCATGGGATGGGACAGCTCCTTGGGCACAGGGCTTATGAGCTGGAGCCTGAGAATGCAGGTAGCCCAGAAAGGGTGAGAAAACAATAAGGAAAGATGTGGCATAATTTGGGGACGGAGAGGACAGGGTGCAGAGGGCAAGTGGGGTTGGAAAGGAAGGCTGTGGGAGGAGCAGGATCTGATCCTGAGATGCCACGCCACCAGTGAGGGATTTATGGCAACAGGAACAAAATCCAGTCTGTTCTGAGAAGAGCACTCAGCCTGTGGGAGAATGGAGGCAGGGACCTCCCCGCTCTCCCCTCTTGGAGCTGCTGCCCCCGCTCCAGACCTTAGGCCTGCGGCCACGTGGTCTACCCCAGCACCACTTAGATACCGCCTGTCCTCACAGGACACTGCCTGTTACCAAGCCTGACCTGCCCCTATCCAGATATATCCTGCCCCGTCCCATCTAAAGTCCCGGACAGTTTCCCTCTGATGAGAGGGAAGAGAGTCCCCTGGGGGCAGAGGTGGCCAGAGATGTCCTGGGGTCAACTCCTCCAGGGCTGCGGGAGCAGGAAGTGGAGACAGTGCGGATGGATGTTGTCTAAAGGACGGTAAAAGGATTGGACTGGGGAGTTTTAAGATGGTCCGATCAGAGTGAGATCCAAGTGGCTGCAGGGACCCAGGAGGCAGGAGGGAAGGAGGAAGGGAAACTGATCTTCCCCTACCGGATGGGAGGCCTTCACTCCAAGCCCAGAAAAGAAAGTACCCATTTCACCCAGAGATGCCCTTTCTGTCCCTTCTGGCCCCGGAACTCCTGGGCTCTGGAGTCCCCCCTTGGTTTCCCATGAGGTTTCCAGCCCCACTTGCAGCCACCACTGAGGGCCTGTGTCCTGTTCAGCCAGCCTCTGGGATGGGGAACTGCAAGGGGCTCAGGTTTAGGGGTGGGGCCAGGTGGGGCCTAGGGGGGGCGGGAGGCGGGGCCTGACCTTGGAAGAAGGCTCCGAATTCACTGGGCAAAACGGCTGGAGGGAACTTGTATTTGCTCTTCTCCCTGGAACTGATGACTTCCCTGGGGGCGGGGGTGGGGACGGGCAGGGGCCCGGGTGAGGCCAGGCACTCCATCCCTCCCTGGCCATCCTCCTTCCCCTGGGTACCTGTGCCCCCCCCCAAAAAAAACTCTGCAGGACAGGCCACTGCCCCCACCCCAGTCCTCTCCCCAGCCTCCTCTGGGTCCTCCGCGGTGGGCTGGCTCTCACCCACTGTGCTGGCGCCGCCAGGTCTGGTAGGGGTCAAAGAGGCCCTCGCAGAGGAGCAGGGCGTGCAGGGCCACGCTCTCCAGCTGCGGCCCCTGGCCCTCCTGTGATCCTGGGGCTCCTTTCAGCTGTAGGTACCAGGAGAGGGCAGAGGGGGTCAGCTGGGCCCTGGCTACTCCCTCACCCCCACCCCCATGCTCCCTCAGGGCAGGGCCCACCTCACCTTGGTTGACAGCTTCCTCAGCAAAGCCAGCACCCGGGGCACCAACACCTGGCCCCAGCCCGCCTCCACGTTCTCTGGGTTCCTGGGCAGGGGACAGCAGGGAATGGCGAGAGGTGTCACAGGAATACGCCACCCCACTGTTGGCCCCCAGGTCCCCAGCTGCCCGCCCCCCTTGGAGAGGACTGTGACGGGGAACCACCCACCTGCAGAGAATGATGAAGAGCTTAAGCAGCACCAGGGCTTGCTCCAGGTCCCCCTCGTCCAGCTGCTCTGCCAGTACATGCAGTGCGTCTGGTGGCAGCAGCGGCACCTCTGCGCCCGCCTCATCTGGTCTGCAGGGAGGACGGTCGCTAGGGCACCGAGGACCCGCCGTCTCTCTCTGCCCCGTCCCTGCCCTCCCTGCCCTCCGGGTAGATCCAGTCTCACCTGCGTGGCTCCAGAGAGGACAGGGAGATGCTTTTCTCGAAGGCACCCACAAAGGCCTTTAGCCACTGCTGCAAGTAGCCCAGGTCCTTCTGCAGGCAGAGGGGGTAGGGCCACGGGGGGGGGGGGGGCGGGCAGAGAGGGCACCGAGGACAGGGGCACACCAGGGGGTTGTCGACAGCAGCAGTGAATGGAGAGTGAAGGAGGGAAGACATGGGTGGACAAGGATTGGGGGCAGGGCAGTGGGGGTGGAGAGGGTGAGAGGCGGAGAGGGGAGGAGGGAGGACAGGAAGTTTGCAGGTCAGCATCAGAGGGCTGCCCTGCATATTGACCACTCTCCCAGGCCCCCTGTCTGCTTTTCCCAGTCTCCCAGTCTCTGCTCCCACCTCCCGAACCCTGGGGGACACAGCCAGGGGAGGGGCTTCAGTGTGCACACTCCTGGGATGTGGCTACAGCCCACATTGCTGCTGGGGCTGAAGGCCTTCCACCCACCAGCCACCCCTGATCTAAATAAAGCCTTGGGCTGCCATCTACCAGCTCAGCAGCCACCACCTCCAGGAGGCCTTCCCTGACTATGGATCCAGTGCTACACGTGTGCGGTGGACCAGGCAGAGCCATGCACGCACACATTCCCCACATGGACACGCAGAATGCCCTACCTCACCCTGGGAACCTAATGCCCGCCCTGGCTGGTTACCTGGACCCCAGGCCCCAAAGCTGGTTCCATGGGTAAGAGGGGCAGCGGCCGAGCCCGAGTCTGGGCGCCTGCCACCAGGGAAACTTTGGTGTGAACGGGAAACGTCCCCTCCCGCCCCGGCCAGGGCAGGAAGCGCAGAGTCACGGTGGGGGAGGCGGGCTGCTTCCTCCCGGCAGACCGCAGGGATGTGGGGGGGCCCAGGGGCACCCAGGGCCCTGCAAGAGAAGCTGTGAGGGACCCGGCCCAGCACTGAGGGCGGAGCCTGCAGTGCAGTGGGGCGGGGTCACCCTGCCCAGGGAGGGGCTTGTGAACCAGAGATATGTTTTACTAGCATGAGGTTCGGGACTTGCAGTCCAGGAACAGGTTCTGATTCCCGCTGCTACAAGGCCCTTCATTCAAGGCACCCACAGCTCCCTGACCTGTGTCCAATGCCTCAGGCCCAGGGAATGATGTGCAAGAGGACAACTCAGTCATACCTTTGCCCTGTCCCCCTCCCCTGTGTCCTGGCCTCTCTGCCTGGCCCTATTGGTCTCTACTCCAGGGACACAGCTGAGTAGGTCCCAGACTAGCCCCAGTCTGCTGTAACCTCTAAACCCCTCCCAGGACACAGTGGGTGGTGGCCTAGAGCTCCTCCTGCCACCCCACCCTTCTTCCCCCCAAACCAGTTGAGCCCAGAAGGCACATTTCTTTCCCAGAGCCAGAGGCTGGTAGGTCAGGTCTAGCAGACTGAAGAAAGCTAAAGAGGCAAGGGACACATCACAGGTGCTGTGTCCCAAGTGCCACAGACCTCAATTCAAGGACTTCCAGAACTACCTTGGATGGATGGCTTATTTCTGGGGCCTGTCAGCTCCAGGCCACAGGGTAGGGACTGAATGGGCCCCAAGGAGGTGGTCAGACCCTAGCAGACCCTGGGCCAGATCCACAAGAAACCTAGACAGAGCAGCTGTCACCCTGTGGTTGGGCACCTTCCTGTGCATTTGTCACAGATCTGAGGCGAAGGCAACTGAAGGAGGGGCTGGGGCCACTGAGGTGTAGACTCAACGTGCCATGGCCACCGTGACTTTTTGTCCGTCAACTCCTCTCTCCACCCTCTGCCACTGGCCACCTCTCTGCTCACCTACCTCTGTCTCTGCCCCTCCTCTCCATCCATCAGCAAGGACACCAAAGTGCCTAACCCTGAAACACCAGAGCAGGCCAGGCCTCCTAGGCCACTTCTGAACATTTCCCATAGCGTATGGGGACGGGGGGTGGGGGACCTCCAGAGAGGATGCCTCATCCACTACAACCACTTCAGCTGCTCCTTTAAGGATGCTGAAAGTCAGACCTTTGTTTTAGGCCAGGGCCACTCATGGTTGCTGGCCAGCTAGCCCAAGCTGACCATGTGGCCTCTGCCTCAGTGACCCCACAGATCCCCGTCAACCTTCAAAACTGGCCCAACACCATCCCCACCCTCTTCTGCCCCCAAACCACCCCCAGTCAAGCCAGACATCTCTCGCCTAAAATGTACATCCCTTTTGCCCACTGCAGTGCTGCTGAGGACCTGAAAGCCCACATTTGGCCATGTCCCCCCACCCTGGCCTGAGGATAGGGCTCAACTGAGCCCAGCATTGCAGGCCCCTAGACCAATCACAGCCGCTCTCCAGCCTCTCCGCCCCTGTCCATCTGAGTCACATCCTCCGGTCCAGGCCCCTATCCACCCTATGCCCCCTGCTGTCCGTGACTTAGGCTTTTGGTACTTAAGTGGGAAGCTGCCAGCTTCTTTGTGGCCATCACCTGGATTGTCCCCCCCCTCCAGAACCCCGGGTGGATCCCTCAAGCTCTGCACACTGGCTTTCCGCCCCTAGAACCACACCCGCGGCCTGTCCAGCAGGTCCGGGCTGGGCTGCATTAGGGGTGGAGGCAGTCAAGGTAGCCTTGATGGCTCTGGAAGAGCAGGAGGGGTCTCTGAGGCAGATGGGGGGATCATGCCTGTCCCTCATTGGATGCAAGCCCCACCTGCTTGCGGGTACGGGAGACCCTACAGGGGGGCGGGACTCACAGGTACAGAGGTGGTGGCCAATGACAAGGGGTCTAGAGCTGGAAGAGGAGGCTGTGGCGCCTGGGCCTCCCACACTCCTCAAAGAAGCTCTGCATCTTCCAGCTCCTCCCTCATGGTCCAGCTCAGAGCAGGAATGTTGGGCAGGGCCAGCCCAGTCCCTAAGCTGAAGGGGCCAGAGTCCCAACCCCACCCCTCCCACGAAGGCAGGTCAGGAGCAGCCACACTCCTCAGGCCCTGGGGGTCCTGTGTAGGTGGTGCTGAGGCCTGCTGCAGGGGGGCAAGCTGGGGGGATGCATGACCACGTCTGCAGGGGCCCCAGTCTGTGCCTGCCTAACCCTGAGGGCACTCAGGCCCAGGGGTGAGAGATCCCCAGGGCTCCTTAGGCCCAAATAATCCCTGGGTGGACACGGAACTGCCACTTCCCCAGATCTCGGAGGGAACCCAGAAGGCAGAGGGCAGGCGGCTGTGGCAGGAATGGGTGGGTGGGGCTGTCTGCCAGGGGACAAGGACGACAGGGACTGCCGCGATGCTTGACCTCATGCTGCCCCTCAGCTGGCTTGCCCTGCCGCAATCCTGACACCAGCCCTTGCTTGCCCTGGGAGTCACCTCAGGGCCCAGACCTCACTTCAAACCCCGATCCCTCCCATCACGTCTTCTTGGAATTTATAATGGCCCAATACCTAAAAATTCCTTAACCACCACCCGGCATCCAGAGCACCTCCAGTACACACGAATGGTCACCACTGTCTGATAAGCCATCACCCACCCCAGCACAGGCTCTAGGGCAAGTCCACAGCCTCCCCTCCTGTCTCAGCACCCCATGCCCCCCCGATGGCCCAGCCCAAAGGCATTACTCACTGTCCCCCCACCCACAGGTCTGCAAGTGCTTTGCCCTCCATGTTCCCTCTACCTGAATGCTCTCCAGAGCCAGCACCTTTCTCAAGACAAAGCCTTGTGCTTCGGAGGTTGGGGCTGCCAAATTGAATCAGTGGTTGAGGGTACAGGTTCTGGAGTCCAAGCCCTGGTTCTCAGACTTAGTAGCTTGTTACTTATCATTAATCTCTGCACTTCAGCTGCCCCTTGAAATCCATCCCTCCATACCTGCTTCACAGGTAAAGCCTCCCCAACCACAGCCTTCAGCACGAAAGAAGGAGAGTGGGAGCTGCATCCCCAAATCCAGGAGCTCTGCCCTCCCAACCCCCTGGCATTCCCTAGAGCAACACTAGTGCTCTCCCCACCCACTTCTATGAGTAGCCGATGAGTAGCAGACCTTGGTTCACACGGGTGGCTGTCCCAGGCAGGTGGAAGGGTGTTGGTGGAGCCAACCATTAGATTAGAGCTAGGAGCAGGGTGAGGAGAGAAGACTGTAGCTCCAAAGTGGGTGACCCCACTAGTCAGAATTGCCTGGGGGCACATAGTGAACATCCCATTTCCAGGGACAGGCAAGCAGAAATGGGACAGGGTGGGGTGGGGTCTGATCGGGATAACCTCTCTCAGGCCTGGGGGAACTCCCCACTCAGCATCAGGAGAGGGATGGCAATGTCAAGTAAAAGATGGATTCTGGCCACACCAGGGTACCTTGAGGTCAGACTTGGAGGACCTCAGGTCAAAGAATGAAGCAGAAAGATGGGGACTTTGCCAGAGGCAGGAACAACTGAGCCATAGGGGTACAAGTGCCCAGGTAGCTGGGTCAGTCTCTCCCCCTCATCTGGGGACCAGGTCTTGAAAGGGGTGGACCTTCTGGTCTCTAGAATGCCCCCCAGGGCTTAACCTTCCCCTTGTCCTAGCACTATGGAAACAGAATTTCCTTCCAGGGTCCCCATAGTAACCGACCCTGTTTCCATGGGGACCCCACACTTCCACATCAGCTCTCCAGTTGCCATAACAACTTCAGGGATTACCAGTCTCTCCCCCCAAGCCTGGGTTCTGTGCTCTTCTCCCCATCACCCTAGACCTGCCCCCTTCAGCTGCCTTGGTCATAAAGTCAGGGAAGAGGAAACCCTGTTTGCCCCTCTGAGGTGCAAGCACTAAAGAGACTCTTCCAACTTCCTTTCTCCCATTTCAAGATGGTAAACTGAGGCACAGGGAGGAATATGACCTAGCCAAGGGCCCAGAGGGAGCAAAGGGCCTGACCAGGTGTCCATGAGGCAGAGCTCATCAGTCAGGGTGAGGGACCAGGGAGGGGTGGGCAGAGCAAGGTCAACTCTAGCTCTGACCTGACCTGACCTCCCTGGAACCCTAAATCCCTGACGGCATAATTGGAGCGGTCAGCCTAGGCTCCCCACCTGGAACCTGAATGTCTGTCCCTCCAGTCCTTTGCGGCCCTGAGTGTCCCGGATGTCAGCCCCCACTCCCACAATGTTCCCTTTCACTAGGGGGCTGTTGAGCAACACTACGCTCCAGCCCAAAGAGGGGCTGCTCATTTGCATGTTATTTTGCATAACTTTTACATGCTGCCCAACTGCCAGCCTGTTGTGTGCTGTCCCCAGACCTCTTATCCTTGCCCCCTTCCTAGCCCTCCTTGGAGGAAGCCCCGCCCATCGCCCAGGCCTCCCTCTCCCTCCTGACAACTGGCCTCTCCCACTTCCCACTGCCACTGTCATGCACTTGCTCCTGGGGTTCCTGACCCTTCTGCCCACAAGGCCCAAACTCAGCCTCCTTGGCACAACCAGTCATTGGTGTGGGGCCTGTCTCCTGCATCCAGCCCCTCAGCTAGTACCCAAGGGGCCTCTTGAAATGTGGGGTGTGCCAAGTAGCAAGCACAGTGAGGGTGAAAGTGGGGACCTGCCTGAGCTGAGGTCCAGCTTGGTCAGGGGAACAGGAGGGAGACAAAGGCCCCCTCAAATAGGAGGGACAAGGCTCATTCACACAGCTTGTGCCATCCCAGGGTACAGAACCACCAGAGGCTTCCTATCCACAGGACTAGACCTTTCTTGGACAAAGGAACCCAGCATGAAGACTGGGCTGGAGCTCTGATGGACTCTACCCCAAACTTGTCCCATGACCTTGGCATGACCCTGCTTTGGTTTCCCCATCAGAGTGCTACAGGACTCAGACTAAGTGATATACAGGGGCACTCTGGCCCCCCTTCCTTCCTCAGTAGCCACCTGCAGCCACTCCCCCCCCCACTTGAGGCCCCCAGTTGAGCAGGGCCCACGGGGGAGGAGGGGGGCAGGTGGGTCTGAACCCCGGGGTATGTGAGGAGAAAGGAAGGGCAGAAAGGGGGTGCTCCCCTGGGCGGGGCCTAGATCCACAACTGGGAAAACAGGTTTGCCAGCTGATGTCAGCTCTCTCAGCTGAGGGGAGGGGCTCGGTGGTTGAGAGAACCTTGTGGCTGGCCAACTCTGGGGTCTCTTAATACCCTCTACCAGTTCCTCTTCCTACTTTATCTTCCTTCTTCCCTCAAGCAAACACACAATGGGTCCCTAGTAGAGCTCAAAGGAGCATAGCCACCACTCCCTGGGAGCCCAGCGTGGAGGGGTGGGGACCTGTTCCGGGAGCAGGAGCAGGACCAAGTGGGCAGGAAGGCAGTGCTGGGAGGTTGGCCGAAGCTTCCGGTTCATACTCACATCCTGGATTTGTTTGCCAGGCCCTAGGCCGCCCCCTGAATCCTCAGGTTTCTAGGGCTACAACCAGCCGGCCTGTGCCCCAGATCTGCCCTGGTGAGGTGAGGAGCTGGAGGGGGAGAGGGAACTCAGAAATGAGTGCTAACCACCTCCTGAGGGAATGAGGGAGCTGACCATCTGCAGAGCTCAGCTAGAAGGGGCAGCGGGAGGCAACCATGCTATGCTGGAGGTCCAGTCCTGGGAGACGGTATCTAGATCTAGACAGCCTTCCCCCAGCAGCATGCCATTCAGCCTGAAGATCCATCATTAACCTCCCTCCGACTCACTACCTGGTTCAAGCCCCCTTCACCTGGTCACCTGGTCACCTGAACAAGTTGAAGACCAAGAATCTGCCCACAGCCATAGGAGCAATCAGAGGCACGAGGGCCAGGGGGAGGTTTCCTTGTGAATCTTTTCCCTTCGCAGGGACCAACCCTTGGAGATGTAGACAGGAGGCCTGGGTGAAGGGACCCAATGGGGCCAGGGAAGAAGGACCTATACCAGCTACCCCTCTGCAGAGTCTAGGCCACCCTGAGGTCAGGGCTGGGCCAAATTTACAGATAGAGAAGTAGAGACTCAGAAGCGTAAAGAGCTTGCCTTGGGTCACACCAAAGAGGGACTCTACACATGCTGCCTCCTACCAGTGGCCTGGACCTCTCACCACCAAAGTGGACTCAAGAAGCTGTGGCCCTTATGGCCTGGATTCCAGGTCCCTAGGGCCCCAGATCCAGCCTGCAGTCCCAGGAGACAGTCGGCCAGCCTCTTCCCAGAGGGCCAGCTGAATCTGTTCGCGAACTTCCCCCTAGTGATGAGATCAGGGGCACACAATAGTCCATTGTGCCCAGGGCACACCTGAGCCAGGAGCAGGATGCCAGGCAGGTGCAGGGAGGGAGGCTGAGGCTAAGTGAAGAGGAGGGGGGCGTTACCCTAGGATCCCTCCCTGCTGTGAAAGCAGAAGGAAAGTGGGAGCCCATGGGCATAAGACAGAGTTTGGGGGACACCAGGTTCTCAGCCTCGACAGGACACCCGGGTCAGTCACTCCCTTCACCTTCTGAGGCCACGTGAGGTTGTCTCTGAGACAGGACGGGGTGCTCAGGAGGAAAGGACCTTCCTCCATCTCTTTCAAACATCCCTCCTATCTCACCTCCCTTTCCCCTCCTTCTGCATCCAAGGCGAATCTTTTCTTCTGGCTGGACCCCCAGACCCCCCAGGGGTGGGGTAGGGGCCTCCTCGGATCAGGGACAGGGAGGAGTTCATCACTGCCAGCGCCCTGATGGGGAGCAGTCTGAGGCAGGCTCAAAGCGAATCCAAGCAGGGACGCCCCCTGCTTCTCACCCCCTCCCCCGCCTGCCGGCACCCCCAACCCACTAGACCCTTCCGGCCAAGACTACCCAATAGGGCCGCGCCCACAGGAGAGTCAAGCCCAAATGCAAACTAAGCCTTCCTGCCCCTCACAACCCTCCCAGCTTCTCATTTATTTTCCGGGCCTCAGTTTCTACATCTGTAAAAGGGGGAGGTCGTCTCGATCCGGGCCCCTCTCCGCATCGGGCGCGATCGAGGTTGCGCGGTCCCCACCCGAGAGGCTCTGGTGAGATGCACCCCCGCGGGGGTCATCCCCCAGGTGTAAGCGCCGGAGGCACCGGCGGGCCGGGGCGGCGCACACGTGTGTGCCGAGCCCGAGTCCGCCCCGCGCGCGCGCATCTACGCGGCCCCGGGAACGCGGGGCGCAGGTGCAGCGGGCGCGGGGCGCGCGGAGCCGGGGGCACAGCGGGAGCGGCGCGGGGCGGGCTCACCTGAGCGTAGTAGAGCAGCCACAGCTCGTACAGCCGCTCCGAGGCGGCCATGGCCCGGCCCGGCTCCGGCCCTGCTGCGCGCCACCTGCCGCCGCCGCCTCCTCCGCGCCGCCCGCCGGTTGCCCTCGGCCAGGCCCATGGGCGGAGGGCGTCACTCCGGGGCGGAGCGGCGCGGTACTACTCGGGGAAGTAGTACTGGCCCCCGCCGCGCGGAGCCACCCGAGGCTGCACGCTCCTCCTCCTCGCGGCCAGCCGCCGCCCGGCTTCCTGCACTGAGCTGCCGCTACCGCCGCCCCGCCTCTCCCGGGACCGTGCAAAGGGCGGGGAGCCCGGAGGGAGGAGGAGCTTGAGGTCAGGGCGGCCCCGGAGGGCGCCCCGCAGTCCCGCTCTCAACAGCCCGCGTCTCTAACAGTGCCTTGGGGAGAGCCTCCCTGAGCCTCCGGGACGAGGGTCGGGGTCAGGTTTTCCAGAGTCGCCCAAGGTCTAGATCCGCCCCGGACACTGCCCGTCTGGCAGGAGTTGCCACCCTTGGTGCAAGGATGGGGTCTCCGTCTCCGGGTTGGGGAGAAGGGGCTGCGGGCCGCGTTCAGATGGCCACGGTCCTTCCACAAATAATGATAGCAACCACCCGACGACCACTTGTAGAGTTAACCACGTGCCTGGCGCTGTTCTCAGCGCTTTAATGGGGAGACCGATGTGCCACGTTTTTGCTCCTACTGTTTGTGGAGCACGATGGGGAACATCAGAGAGCAGCAGGACATGCCTGAAATAACTCTGAAGGCGCAGTGCCCTCCATCTGTCTGGCAGATCCCTGGGAGATTTAGGCAATCCTCGTCTGTCCCCTCCAAGAAGCGTCCTAAGATGCTCCAGTAGAGGCATCCTCCACTCTAGGGCCCAGCACTTGTCCTTACATCTTTTGTTTCCTTTAACCTCAAGAGGTTAAAGGCAAGTGGATGTCTTATGCCTTTGTTTTACAGATGGAAAAAACGAGGCCCAAATGGGCCAAGTGGGAATCACTTGGGTAGGCAGGGACAGCGTGGACAGGGATGGAGGCCTGACGGACTCTATGCTGGGCCACTGCCACCATCACCCTTGCTTCGCCCCACCAGACTGCCTGGGAGGTGAGGTTCCCTCTGGTGTTGGGCAGGGGTCAGGCCCTTTGTTGGAGTTGGGGAGAAGTTTGTGGAGCCCAGAAAGATACTATGGGGTAGAGAAACTGGAGCCTGGAGGCCCCCAGACCTTGAGTGGCCAAGAGAAGACAGCCTCTCTCCACATCCCTATCCTTTTCCATCGTCCTGACTTCTTCTGGGGCAGCCCCTCCACTCCGGCCTTTTTTTCCTGTCCTGTCCATCCTACCTCTGAGCTGACATTTCCTGAGCACCTACTACCTGTATCCTAGGTACTGCCTGTGAACCTGGTACAGGTTCTGGCAAGTTACCCCTCCAGATGCAGGGGAACAGGGCACCAAAAGTCCCCCACTAGTGAGTTCAAGAGAGTCATTTTGGAGGGGCTGGACAGAGGTCTTGTGGCACGGGGCCCTCTGAAGGGGACTGGGCATCCACCTGCTACCACCCTGGGAAGGGAGGCCCCAAACAAGGAAATAGTCTTGTTGCGAGGCAAGTCATGGCATGTGTTGGGGGGAGGGAGGCATGGATTCTGTATGGCTTTGGGGACCTGTCAGAAGGTCTTAATGTCAGCCAAAGTGGTCTCCTGGTTGTTGTGGAGTGGGCTGGTTCACGCAGGAAAGAAGACCCTGGCAGCTCCTGCTGAGGAGCAGTGTACCTCTTGGCCACCTGTTGCAGTCAAGGCCATATCAACTCTCACTAGTTCTCAGGAACTAAGCTCAGGGGGTCCCTGGGGACCCTTGGGCCCAGGTTCGGTGTTTGTTGTTCTCCAGATTAGGTAGTCTGACTCTGAGTACTTTGCTGCTTTGGGGGGCTTGGGAGTGGGAAGGGATCATCCATGAGCCTGGAGGAAATGGCCATCGAGCCAAGCCCTGCACCGCACAGGCTTTATCTGAGCTGAGAGCAGACACATTAGGGTCTACGGGCCCATGACAAGAGCAGCCAGGAAGTCACTGATGGAGAGGAAGAGGCAGATCTCTTATTAAACTGGGATCGGAGTGGAGGGTCAGTAAAGGCTTCTTGAAGGCACTCAGGCCTTGAAGAATCAGGACAAGGGGACAGCGCCTTCCAGGTGGCTCATATGGAGTGAGATGTGGTTGGGGCTTGCTTAGGCCAAAGTAGAGCGATCGACGCGCTCTATCCTCCTTCATTCAGGTCTGACTCCACTTGCCGCTTTCTCACCGATTGGCATTGGACGAATCGAGCCTTACGGCCTCTCTCTTTACCTGGCCCTCCCCCAACAGGCGAGGCGAGTTGCGGAGAAAGGTGGGGCGGGCTCTCCCATAGAAACTCAGTGCTGATTGGCTATCAGGACTTCCTGTTCTCCCGTTCTCGTCCCCGGATTGGCCGCCAGAGGTACATCCACTCCCTGGGCCTGCGCGCTGCAGGACGAGAGAAGAGGAGGGTGGGCAACATGGCGGCTACTGCGGCTGGTGTGGGCCGGCTAGAGGAAGAGGCGTTGCGGAGAAAGGAACGGCTGAAAGCCCTACGGGAAAAAACTGGGCGCAAGGTGAGGAGCGCAGAGTGAGGGCCGTGGTTGAGGTAGTCGGTGTTCGGATCCAGAACAGGGACTACAGGACGGGGGGGACCACTAGGAAAAGGCAGCTGCTGAGGACGCGCATGCGCGCGCCTTGGCGCTTGCGCGAGGAGTCGGATCCCTCCCACCAAATCTGGTGTTGGCTGGGTGGGATTCTTTTGGCGCTGGTGCCATCGCCGCGCATGCGCGTAGCGGGGAGGGCCGTGGTCCACGCGCTACGCGCTTTTTGGCTACTGTTAGGTGTTTCCCTTGTGCGTCTCCAGGGCAACTTCTAAGTTTGAGATGTTCATTGAATTAGCCTTGGTTTTTTTTTTTTTCTTTCCGCGTACGAGCGCCCCGAATCATCCCCTTTTCTCACGATCCCGCCGGCCTTCCAACCTGGTGAAATTAAGTGCATCTGGCAGGTTGGCAGATTCCTCCCCTTTCCGCCGGCGTGTCTTGGGCAGGGCAGTCGGGGACTGTGCCCTGGGCCCCCGTCTGCAGTCGTTGAGTACGAAAGTCAGGGTGCACGTCAGGGAAGGAGGAGGGCTCTTAGTTCTTTCCAGGCTGCTTCTCTGGGGATGGACCTCCTGGTCCCCTTAGTGACCGAACTTGGAAGCATCTTCCTCTCTTCCGTTAGACGCCAGATGGGCCGAAGATTCCCTTTCCGCTTTGTTGATCTTTCCGAGCAATCCGCAAGAAGGAGAATCCTGAAGTTCATTACCCGTGTGCAAACCTTGGCCCCGCCACTTGGGGCGGTGGGCCTGGGGACGCACTGCTTCAGCTTGAGCCCGCCTTCCCGTCCTCAGTGGGGCATAACAACCCCTCTGTATTCTCCCTGGGTTGCTTTGACATCTGACGGGATCATCTGTATGAAAGAGCTCTAGAGACCTCAGGGTGGACGCTGTCAGTTCTGTTGTTGGATGAGCAAAACCCCTCAATCCTACAAAATACAAAGGATGGGAAATAGCCAGACCTTTGATAGAGGGGGGAAATGGAACTCAAGTTTCCAACTTTAAAGAGGCTGGTCAGTCTGACCCGTTTCCTTTCTGCATGGCGGCCCTGTGGGAAAGTGAAAGGGGAAGTAGTAGCGAGTGAAAGCTAGCCAGATTGGCTTTGGCTTTTCATGCCGCTTGTTGGGCCCGTCGGACGGTTATGTTTGAAAACTGCCTCGCCTAGGGAAGCTCAAGCCTGCACCTTCAAGTGGCTAGCCAGCTTGTGCTGTTGGCTTGGATTTGGGGCCCAGATTACTGGGACTGGGCTTGAGGTCAGAATACAAAGGACAACATAGCATCCTCAGGGCCCATTGCCATGGGAAGGATGCCCAGGTCATCAGGAGAACGGGCCTTTAAAGAGGGATTCTCTTAATGGGCTGGGAAAAATAGGGCCTGATGGTTATTTTGTTGTTGTTTCTTTTTTTTTTTTAAATTGTGGCAGAATATATGTAATACAAAATTTACCGTTTGAAACAAGTTCATAATGTTATATGACTGTACAGCTATGTCCAGAGATTTTTCATCATCCCAAATGTAAACTCTGTATCCATTAAACAATAACTCCCCATTCCCCTCTCAGCCCAGACCCTGACAACCCCCAATCTATTGACTGTTTAGGTATCTTATATAAGTATAATCATATAGTATTTGACTTTCTTTGGCTGGTTTATTTCACTCAGCATAACATTTTTTTTTTAAAGATTTTATTTACTTATTCATGAGAGAGGGGGCGGGGGGCAGAGACACAGGCAGAGGGAGAAGCAGGCTCCATGCAGAGAGCCGGATGCGGGACTCCATCCTGGGTCTCTAGGATCACGCCCTGGGCCAAAGGCGGTGCCAAACCACTGAGCCACCAGGGCTGCCCCAGCATAACATTTTTAAGGTTTATCCATGTTGTAGCATATGTGAAATTTTATTCTTTTTTTTTCATGAGAGACACAGAGAGAGAGGCAGAAACACAGGCAGAGGGAGAAGCAGGCTCCATGCAGGGAGCCTGATGTGGGACTCGATCCCAGGACCGTGGGATCATGCCCTGAGCCGAAGGCGGATGCTCAACCGCTGAGCCACCCAGGCGTCCCAATTTTATTCCTTTTAAACCTGAATAATACTCCTTTGTACTATACCACAATTTGTTTAGCCATTCATTTTGGGTTGCTTCTAACTTTTGGCTGTTATGAATAATGAGTGTATAAATATCTGTTTGAGCCTCTGTTTTCAGTTCTTTTGTGTATGTACCAAGAAGTGGAGTTTTTGGATTATATAAGCAGTTCTGTGTTTAACGTTTTAGGGAACTGCCATGCTGTTTTCCTTAGCAGCTGCATCATTTCACATTTCTAGCAGTAGTACACATGGATTCCAGTTTTTCCATGTCCTCGTCAACACTTGTTATTTTCTGTTTTGTTGATATTAGCCAGCCTATTGGGTGTGAAATGGTACCACATTGTAGTTTTGATATACATTTCTGTAATGATTATGTAATTATGTAATGTGAGTGATGTTGAACATCTTCTCACGTGCCTATGGCTATCTGTATATCTTTAGAGAAATGTCTGTTCAGATTCTTGGCCCATTTTTAAAAAAGATTTGAAAGGAAGCGGGAGGGAGAAGGGGAGAGGGAGAGTCTTCAAGCAGGCCCCCACTGAGCCTCCCCCCATGGGGCTCCATCTCATGACCCGTGTAATCATGACTTGAGCTGAAACCAGAGTCAGATGCTTAATGGACCAAGCCACCCGGGTGCCCTTTTGCCCATTTTTAAATTGACTTTTGTTGTTGCTGTTGAGTTGTAGAAGTTCTTAATATATTCTGAATAGTAACCCCCTATCAGATATGGGATTTGCAAATATTTTCTCCCAATTCCAGTGTTGTCTTTTCACATTCCCAGTAATGCCATTTGATGCACAAAGTTCTTAAATTTGATAAAGTCCAATTTATTTTTTCTTTTGTTGATCCTGCTTTTGGTGTCATACCTAATGAACCATTATCAAATTTTGGATCCTGAAGCTTTTATTTTCTTTTAAGAGTTTTTAGTTTTAGTTCTTATACTTAGGTTTTTGATCTATTCTGAGTTATTTTTATGTAGAGCATAATGTAAACATCTAATAGTCTTTTGCATGCAAATATCCACCTTTCCCAGAACCATTTGTTGAAATGACTGTCCTCCTTTCCCTATTGAATGGTCTTGGTATCCCCACTGAAATCATTTGACCATATGTGAAAAAGTTTATTTTGGGACTCTATTCCATTCTATTGGTTTATATTGTCTGTCATTATACCACTACCATACTGTCTTGATTACTATAGCTTGTAGTAAGTTTTTTTTTTAAGATTTTATTTATTTATTCATGAGAGACACAGAAAGAGAGGGCAGAGACGCGGGCAGAGGGAGGAAAAGTAGGCTCCATGCAAGGAGCCTGATGCGGGACTCGATCCTGGAAATCCGGGATCATGCCCTGAGCCACCCACGCATCCCACTTGTAGTAAGTTTTAAAGTCAGGAAGTATGAATCTCTTTCAAGATTGTTTTGGCTTTTTGGGATCCTTGAGATTCCATATGATTTTTATTTATTTTATTTATTTTTAAGATTTTATTTATTTGTTCATGAGAGACACAGAGAGAGAGGCAGAGACACAGGCAGAGGGAAATGTAGGCTCCATCAGGGAGCCCGACATGGGACTCGACCCCTGGGCTGAAGGCAGCGCTAAACCGCTGAGCCACCCAGGCTGACCTCCATATGAATTTTAGAATGGATTTTTCTATTTGTGCAAAAAGCACCATTGGGATTTTGATACAAATTACATTGAATCTATAAATCATTTTGGAGAGTGTTGCCATCCTAATATTAAGTCTTTCAATCCATGAGCATGTGATGTCTTTCTGTTTTTTTAAGTTGTTAATTTTTATTTAAGTCTTTAATTTTTTTCATCAGTCTTCTTTAGTTTTCATCATACAAGTCTCTAGCTCATTGGTTAAATCTATTCCTAAGTGTTTTATTCTTTTTGATGTTGTTGTAAATGAGATTGTTTTCTTAATTTATTTGTTCAGATTGTACATTGCTAGTGTATATAGAAATGCTGCTGATTTTTTTGATTTACAAAAGTGGCATCTTGCAACTTTGCTGAATTTGTGTATTATTCTAACAGTTTTTTTTTTTGTGGACTCTAGACTTTTCTGCATAAAAAATCATCGTCTGTGAACAGAGACAATTTTACTTCCATCCCAATTTGGATGTCTTGTATTTCTTTTTCTTGCCTGATTGCTTTGGCTGGAACTTTGGGTATCATGTTGGCTAGAACTCGTGAAAGCAGTCATCTTTGTTTTGTTCCTTATCATGGAAGAGCTTTCAGTCTTTCACCATTGGGTGTGACATTCACTGTGAGTTTTTCAAATATGGCCATTGTCTTGTTGTTCCTTCTATTCTTAGTGGTGGTGTGTTTTTCGAAAGAGAGCTGAATTTTGTCACATGCTTTTTCTTCATCAATTGAGATGGTTGTATGATACCCCCCCCTTTATTCTATTATTCTATGGCATTAATTGGTTTTTGTATGTTGAGCCATTTTTGCACTGCAGGGATCCCTTGGTCCTTGCTGGATTTGTTAGTATTTTGTTGAGGATTTTTGCATTCGTGTTCATGATGAATATGAGTTTGTAGTTTTCTTTCTTTTTTATTTTTAAATAAATGATGGAATGTGGTGTGGTTTTTTGTTTGTTTTGTGTTGTTGTTGTTGTTGAGAGAGCTAGAGAGAGCACCAGCAGAGAGAGGGAGGGAGAAGCAGACTTCCTCCTGACACAGAACTCGATCCCAGGACCCGGGGATCATAACCTGAGCTGAAGGCAGATGCTTAACTGACCCAGGTGCCCCAAATTTGTAGTTTCCTTGTAGTGTGTGTGGCTTTGGAATCAAGGTAATACTGAACTCATAAAATGAGTTAGGTAGTATTCCTTCCTCTTCAATTTTTTGGAGGAGTTTGAAAAGGATTGGTGTTATTTCTTCTTTAAATG